TAGAATTAAATTTATTCACATTTTCTATATCATCACACTTTATGGCTTTATCACCTTCCAGGTATCGCCCAGCACAACTCGATTCGGAGTCCTAGTGGACTTTCCGGGTCGGGGTGTGTCAGAAAGTGTCTTATAATTATAACTTTAGGTACCCGACTGAGATAAAAAAAAACTTAATGTATGAAATGTTGAAAACCAAGAAATTTCAAGATAGTAAACTGAGATTAACCCTATCAATAAAACTCTAATTGTCAACCAACTTCATAAAATTACTAATTTAATCTTCTAATTAAAACTGAACATAAATAAAAAAAACATAAACAAAATATAATTTCAGACAAATCAAATTTTACTATTATTTTTTAAGTTTCATCCACATATGATAATAATATATCTTTAATATTAAAAAACATAAAGTAAAATAAACTTTTTTACCCTTTCTCATCACTTCACGTAGCCCTGACAATTCCTGACACGACCCGATAATCAAACATGATACAACATGACACGAAATTAACAGGTGTTCGGGTCAACACGATAACGAATCGGGTCGTTATCGGGTAACCCGATAAGCACCTGTTAGATAACGAGGTTGGTTCGGGTATATACATGGGTAACACGATACACGATAAGCAAAATATTAATTTTATTACCTTAAAAAATTACTATAATAATTATATATATTAATTTAAAAAATTTTATACCCCTAAAAACTATAATAATTATATATATATATATATATATCAAATTAAATATTAAAAATTGGTGACCATTGGATCAGCTTAAATATACATATCATTCAATTTCTTAAGTGTTATATGTACAAAATAAATAAATTTAAATCTATTTAATATATATATATATATACACACACCATTGAACTTGATGGGATATGAATTCTACAAAACTAATTTCAACGATCCAACTGTCAAACTTGTTTGTATATGCTTTGAGATCGCATCAGCAAAAAATTGCAAAAAAAAAACATTCAGAGATCAAGTAACGGGACAAAACTTTTTTACGGTTATCAATGAAAAATCACGATTTAACCGTTATTTTAACTCCGATTTTGATGATTTTTTTATAGTTACACTCCTTGACCCTATATGAATACAATGAATGAACTCGATCTTCAATTTAAATATTTACACTAGTGGATACCACAAAATCTTATGTTATACTTAATGAAAGTTTGAATAAACTCTTAAGTGTTAGTTAATCTATTGTTTTGATGAGATACGGATTGTACGAAACTAGTTTCAACGATCCAACCGTCAAACATATTTATATATACTTTGAGATCGCATACGCCAAAAATTACAAAAAATAAACATTCAGATATCAAGCAACGAGACAAAAAATTTCGATGGTTATAAACGAAAAATCACAATTTAACGATTATTTTAACTTCGATTTTGATGATTTTTTACAGCTACACTCCTTGGACCTATATGAATACAATGAATGAATTCGATCTTCAATTTAAAATATCGACACTAGTGGATACCACAAAATCTTATATTATATTTGATGAAGGTATAAATAAACTCTAAGTGTTAGTGAATCTATCGTTTTGATGGGATACGCATTCTACAAAATTAATTTCAACGATCCAATCATCAAACTTGTTTGTGTATGCTTCAAGATCGCATACGCTAAAAATCACAAAAAAATAAACATTCAGATATCAAGTAACAAGAGAAAACTTTTCGACGGTTATCAATGACAAATCATGATTTAATGGTTATTTTAACTCCGATTTTGATGATTTTTTACAGCTACACTCCTTGACCCTATACTAATACAATGAATGAACTTGATCTTCAATTTAAAATATATTACACTAGTGGATACCACAAAATCTTATGTTATACTTAATGAAAGTATGAATAAACTATTAAGTGTTAGTGAATCTATTGTTTTGATGGGATACGCATTCTACGAAACTAGTTTCAACGATCAAACTGTCAAACATGTTTGTATATACTTCGAGATCACATACGCCAAAAATTACAAAAAACAAACATTCAGAGATCAAGTAACGGGACAAATTTTTTTAACGATTATCAACGAAAAATCACGATTTAACGGTTATTTTAACTCCGATTTTAATGATTTTTTTACAGCTACACTCCTTGACCTAATATGAATACAATGAATGAACTCGATCTTCAATTTAAAATATTTACACTAGTGGATACCACAAAATCTTATTTTATACTTAATGAAAGTATGAATAAACTCTTAAGTGTTAGTGAATCTATCATTTTGATGGGATACGCATTCTACGAAACTAATTTCAACGATCCAACTGTCAAAATTGTTTGTACATGTTTCGAGATCATATACACCAAAAATTACAGAAAACAAACATTCAAAGATTAAGTAACGGGACAAAAATTTTCGACGATTATCAACGAAAAATCACGATTTAACGGTTATTTTAACTCCGATTATGATGATTTTTACAGTTACACTCCTTGACCATATATGAATACAATGAATGAATTCGATCTTCAATTTAAAATATTGACATTAGTGGATACCACAAAATCTTATCTTATATTTAATGAAAGTATAAATAAATTATAAGTGTTAGTGAATCTATCGTTTTGATGGGATACACATTATATGAAACTAATTTCAAAGATCCAACCGTTAAATTTGTTTGTGTATGCTTCAAGATCGCATACGCTAAAAATCGCAAAAAATAAACATTCAGAGATCAAGTAACAGGACAAAACTTTTTTACGGTTATCAACGAAAAATCATGATTTAAAGGTGTTTAACTTTGATTTTGATGATTTTTTTACAACTTTACTCCTTGACCCTATGCGAATATAAAGAATGAACTCGATCTTCAATTTAAAATATTTACACTAGTGGATACCACAAAATCTTATGTTATACTTAATGAAGGTATGAATAAACTCTTAAGTGTTAGTGAATCTATTGTTTTGATAGGATACGCATTCTACGAAATTAGTTTCAACGATCCAATCGTTAAACATGTTTGTATATACTTCGAGATCGCATACGCAAAAAATTGCAGAAAACAAATATTCAAAGATCCAAGTAACGGGATAAAACTTTTCGATGGTTATCAACGAAAAATCATGATTTAACGGTTATTTTAACTCCGATTTTGATAATTTTTTACAGTTACACTCCTTGACCCTATATGAATATAATGAGTTCCATACTCCTTGACCCTCACATACTCCGATTTTGATGATTTTATAAAAGGAATAACATGCAAGTTTTGAGTTTCATTGACAAGGTTTAAACTTTTGAGAAAGGCTTCACAGCCTTGAAAGAAAAAACTTTTTCATTTTGCATATCCTTGCACATTTAATATTTTGTAATAGACTAGTAGTGTATGGATGTTTGTTTATTAAGCTCTTTTTTTCGAGTGTAGATGTAGTACTTAAACAACAAATATGTTTTAATGTTTTGAAATAATATTTATGTGGCAATGTGTGGTATGTGCAAATTTAAGAAGAAAAAAAATATTTTTCTTAACAGGTCATAATGAGTCATAACGGATGTGACACGACACGACACGACCCGTTTGCCAGGCCTAACTCCACGTTCTCTCTTACTCTCTTTATCTCATTTCATTTATAAAACAAAAATAAAAAATGTTCAGCATATGCCTGTATTATTAGAGGCAAGTTAGTCATTTAAATGAGGGGTGAAATTGAAACATTAAGTGGCGTTATGTGTTACAGGTGAAAATGAATTTTTTTGTAAATGTCCTTTCACTCGATAAACAAAAACATTTCTATTGGACGAGAAGGGCGACGGAAGGTTGATGTGGTGGAGAAAAGAACACATGATTAAGACTTTTTGTTTTTAGGGAGATTAAGACTTTTTATTAAAATAATTAATTACCCTAATATAATTTCTTATTCTTGAGAATTTTATTAAAAAGCACATTTCCCAAACAAATTAGTAATAATTTTTTTTTATCAAAGATAAATTTTGTTAGATTAGATATTAGATTAATATTCAATTGCTTCAGAGCAAGTACATTCCTAAAAAAATGCGCTAACAACCAGCCTATTTAATCCACTAAGTGAACAGTAATAGACCCTAATAAATAGTAATAGACCAAATGTATCTTTACCCCTAATAAAAAATAGCCTAGTCAATTTTATTAAAATTTTATTATTTTTTATTATAAAATAATAAAAAGTAATAATTTATTTTTAATTTTTGACTTTATAAAAAAATATTATTAATTTTTGATATTTTTATTTATTTATTTATTAAGTTTTTTGTCTGAAAAATCTGGATCATTGATCTGAAAATCAAACGGTCCTCATTGTGCCATGTCAGTACCCATTAATTTTAAATTTCAATTTTTTTTCACCGTTGGAAATCTAATGGCCTAGAAACGAACACATGGACTCCATCTGATCATCTCAGTGGGCCTGCGTTGGTGGGCCACCCCCACTTTTTGTTGTCGGGATGCATGGCCACGCGTACGTGTATCGCATGCGTTTAGGGCAAAAAAATTTCAAATGCCCTCCGATGCCACGATGACATCAAATGGGCCGGTTCATGGCTCTGTCTATTCTAGGCTGGCTTGGAGACCAGCTTGGGTTGGATGCCAGCCTATCTGTTGGGCTGGAATGAATTGGCTGGGTGCCAGGCCAATAATTTGGCTGGGTGCAAGCCTAAAGAGTCCCCGGTGGAACTGCTCTCAACGGAGTTCGAATCCACGATTTCATGCAATTACTCTGCACTTTTCTACCACATTGGTAAAGAGACTTTGCATTAATGGTAAATTACCGTGCTAAATTTTCCCGGGAAATAAACAGTCCAACCCTCTTCAACCGCCTCTAACTTACCGCCCCCACCACCACCACCACCACCACAGCCAGAACGGACTGCCATGGATCCGCCAAACGAATTCCCGATGATTTTTCCTCCTTCCCTCCTATCCCCTTCGCCCTTTTTGAGCCCCCAGAATATCCAATCCGTAAACCTAATTCAAACGCACCGCCGATTCCAAACACAGTCGAAAACTCTTGCTCCGCCCATCTTCTTTCCTTCTCGGTCCCAAAGAAACGAAGACGAGGCAGGTCTCATCGCGTGGCGACGTCATTTCAGCTGCCTTCGATTCTGAACGGCGCTTCGGTAATAGTAACGGTCTTGCTTCTTCTTCAAGTTCCATTTCAGTTCATTCGACTAGACACAATGTAGGAAACCCGTGCCTGATATCTCCGACAAGATTATTGTGATCGACAAGGAATCCACAGCCGAGGCGCTGATCCCTCTCGGCTGGTTTTCCTGCCGATTCCCTCACTGAAGAGAAACTTGATTTCCCAGTAATTCGAGTTATTGGGGGAATAGAGCAGGTCAATTACATTATCATTAGAAACCATATAATTGCTAGATGGCGCGAAAATGTGTTGAAAGATGTTTGTTGATTCTATACCTAAGCATTGCTATTCCCTTTTGGAATCTACTTATAAGTATCTAGTTTCACATGGATATATTAACTTTGGGATTGCTCCGGCTATTAAAGAGAAGATTCCGGCTGAGCCTAGTAAACCACATGTGATTGTGATTGGTCATGGGCTTGCTGGTCTGGCTGCTGCCAGGCAAATGATGCGTTTTGGGTTTAAAGTGACAGCTTTGGAAGGCCGGAACCGTGCAGGTGGGTGGGTTTATACAAAGAAAATGGAGGGAGGAATTAGGGAAGGTGTAGCTGCAGATTTAGGTGGAAGTGTTTTAACTGGCACATTAGGGAACCCACTCGGCATTGTTGCACGCCAATTGGGTTATGTGCTTCATAAAGTGAGAGACAAGTGCCTGCCTTATAGTTTTGATGGGAAGCCTGTAGACCCTGATATGGATATGAAGGTAGAAGCAGCTTTTAACCATCTGTTAGATAAGGCAAGTAGCCTTAGGCAGTTAATGGGGTGTTTTTCAGTTGATGCGTCTCTTGGTGCAGCACTGGAAATGTTCTGGTAGGCAGTGGATGCTGAGGAGACGAACTTGTTTAATTGGCATCTTGCAAATTTGGAATAAGCAAATGCAGATTTAATATCTAAACTGTCACTTGCATTTTGGGACCAAGATGGTCCATATGACATGGGCGGAGACCATTGCTTCTTGCCTGGAGGTAATGGAAGGCTGGTGCATGCTTTGGCAGAGAATTTGCCGATCTTATATGAGAGAATTGTGAATACCGTTAGGTATGGTAGTGACAGAGTGCAGGTTATTGCTGGCAACTAGGTTTTTGAGGGTGATATGGCCCATTTGGGGTTTAATTGGCATTTCTCATATATTTGACTACAAATTACACAAAGACATATGGTTCTAACATGATTCCGTGTTTAAAGGATTTGGTCATATGATATGTTAAGAAATCATAGTTCCCATACATATTTAAAGTTCCTCAAGTTCGATAGTTAACCCAACAGTTAGTTATGGAATAGAAACTATCATGATAAATAATGATTTACAAGTTAGAATATATAATTTTGCCGTGAATATCATTCAAAATAAACTTAAATACCAATTCCATAATCATGTTTTTTCCATTCTTGGTATTTTTCAATGTTTAGGAAATAGGCAGACAATCACTAAACCCAGTTCTGGAGTTTTGCTATATCTAATCATGACTACTCCCAATCATTATTCCTAATATCATTGGTGGTTCAAGTTTTTATATATCAACCATTAGATAGCTGCCGATTATATAGTAATTTTATGAGGTGCTGACATAAATCAATGCAGGTATTTATGAACCACAAGGAATTACTGTTCCAGAGCCCATCCAAACAATCTGTACCAGATGGGGAAGCGATCCCTTCAGCCTAGGCGCTTACTCTAATGTTGCGGTAGGGGCATCAGGAGATGATTATGATATTTTAGCAGAAAGTGTGGGAGATGGACGACTTTTCTTTGCAGGTGAGGCTACCAATCGGAGATATCCTGCAACCATGCATGACGCTTTTGTTAGTGGGCTTAGAGAAGCTGCTAATATGGCTCACTATGCTAATGCTGGAGCCCTGAGGATAAAAATTAACAGGAACCCATCAAAGAACGCCCATTCTTGTGCTTCCCTTCTTGCAGACTTATTTAGGGAGCCTGATTTAGAATTTGGGAGTTTTTATGTTATTGCCTTGATAAAAGCTGAGAGGGGTAATCGCAAACCAGCTTCAACTTCATTGACTTTAAAGTCTGGTGAGTGGTTCACACTGATTTTAATCCATATGGTCTCCTGAAAAGTAAGAAAGAATTAGTAAACTATATAAATGGGAATAACAATTATATTGGTTTTTGTAGGGACATCAAAGCTGAAAGCTGACAATTTGAAACAAAAATTGGTCAGGTATGAGCTCTGAATCTTCTGTTTCGTAGATAATTCATGCATTTCTTTTTTCTCTCATGTGATTGATCTCTTTTACTCATTTAAACTATTAATTTATTCTCTTTTTATTTTCCTTTATTTTCGCAGAAGGGCCAAAATAATGCGCAATGGTAATGGGAAACTTGGTTAATGGTAAACTGTCAACGAAACTACCACAAGTCAAGTTCCCTCCAACGCACTTGGTCCAGGTAAACTTGAAGGGGTCCTTACATATTCTTATTACTCTATGCATATTTAGTGTGTCAGAATTGTCTTATATGGCCAACTGTGGTAATGGTTTCTTCTTCTGCTTTTTTTTCAAAATGGTTATAAAATTTTGCCGATAAACATCTGATTATTTTCTGTATTTTGTTAGGGCAAAATCATTCCGACGTGTTGAAGAATGAGTAGATGACCTTTTTCTGTTAGGGGTGAGATGTCAACTTTTTGTTTGGTCGAGCCTTGGGTGGGATGTCAACTTTTCTTTAACTTGAAAAAGTGGTTCTACTCGGCGAGCCTTGTTACACCCTTCGGCCCAAGGGAGTTGGCCCTTCTGCTACCAAGCCTTGCAAGATCTATTTTCTGCTCAGCATGTTCTTTGCTGAATAACCACCGCCACCATCCTCAATTGCAGAAGAAATTTGTGCCGCTTGCTCTCCTCCACTCGGGTCAATGAGCAATTTGGTATCCAATTGAATTGAGCAAGAGCAACTCTGCGCCATCTTCCAATAAGCCCGACACCAGTGATTGTTGACTGGTGGAATGAGACTTGAGTTGTGATCTTTCCAGGTCCACAACTTGTTAAATTAACGTGTGAAGGAAGCAATCTTCGCAGATTTACGGTGTTGTTTTTTTACCGAACTACGAAATAATATAAACAGATTTCGGATCATGATTATGATTTTCCTTGTGCTACAATTTAGACAAGATTTTATATGATAAAATGCAAGAAAATCTTTCTCTAAACCAATGGAATGACCAATTTGTATTTGGATCACAAACCAGTGCTGCCTGGAATTTTCTCAGTGTTTGCCATGTAAATGCTGTCTGCTTGGTGCTTGTAATTAACAATCAGATAATTCTGTACATGCTTAGTTTTAGGACGTGGCATTCTTGACAGCTTTAGGACGGGAATTCTTATAACCGTTGGCTGTTCAACGATGACAAATCTCATGGACGACAATTGTTGATAAAGAAAAGAGAACGATAAAAGAACTCACACATTTTTGATCCGTTTGAAGCGAAAACTATTTTGTAGAAGGCTTATACCACGTAGCCATCCTCAAAAGTACTATGCCGTCAGTACATCCTTCAAAAGCACAACAATGCCGTCAGTACGAGGACATTGAAGTCGACTAGTGCATCCTTCAAAAGCACAACCGCAATTCTCCGATACGAGATGGACGAAGTCAGGGTGGATTGACGACTCCTGCCACGACGGAATTCAAGATTCATGGTAGCCAATCCACATGAAACTCAAATCACTCACCATCATCAAATACCATAAGTTTTCTTGAACCAATAAGAGTCAGAGAATAAATCTTTATTATCACCCTGGAATATTCAAATAATTGTGTATACTTTACAATCCACAGAGAATAACACGCGACAACACAGTATGTACAGGCTAAAGATCTTTCAGTATCGTAGTTTTGACAAGCTAAAATCTTTCTGCATCGCTTGCTCCTCTGCGATTATCTAGATTACCGGCCCCTTCCAACCACTCTTGTAGTTTATTTTCTTCATCAGCCTTGAATTCATCATAGTATTCTGCCATTGATAATAAATGAGGACTCGACAAGCTACCACCAGCTTGTTCTTCTTGTTGTTCGTCAGCAACATGACTCGATAAGGGCAACTCCTCAAGTTCTACATCCGGCTCAGATGAACTGGTGCTTGCAGAAGCAACTGATAGTGATGGGTTAGAACTAGAGGTCTGTGTTAATTCTTTAGGATCAAGTTGCGGCCACTTGAAACTACTCGCCTTTTGTCTGGCAGATTTGATTACGGTAGAAATATAACCGCTTTCAGTATCCTGTTGGGCATCACCAGGGGAACGAACCCAACTTGTTGGCTTCCAAGAGCTTGTTCTTCCCATCTGAAAACCTGGTGTTTGCTGATGGATTACACCTCTCTTCGGCTTCTTTGTTGACATAAGCACTAGAGATTTCTTTATATCTCTAATCATCTCATCGGCAACGGGGAATCCACATTCTTTCATTGATCTCAACATAGCTATGGAATCCTCTGAATCCTCAGTGTGCAAAGCTGTTTCACAAGACTTTTCCGCAACATTACTTCTAAGACTAACAAGATTGGGCACTGCATTTTGTGTGTGCTGCTGAATATAAAAAAGCCCTACTGACGGTTCATTTGCCACGTATCTAATCATCTCTCCCAAGCCTTCAGTTATCCCCATAAAGCCTTCCACGATGGAGAACTCATGCATCTTTTCAAAGCCAAAGGCAGTTCATCATCACTGTTTTAGCCAAAAAGGAAGAGCGGACAGTCAGAAAAGTTAAATGGTACACGCGAAAAAAGAAAAAACAAAGACTTATCAATACAGTCGATTAACTTTGTAGGTTCATGCATCATTAGTCGATATAGAAATTCAACAGAAAAAGGCACTCAAGAGCTATATTACCAACTGAAAAGGATAAGTGGAATCTATACTTATTGGCTCTATACTATTTCGGCATAAGAATCACAACGCAGTTTATGCACGTCGAACGAACTCAACCACAATATAAGAGAACTTTTATTTCAACTGCCTGTATTATTGTTGATTGGCACTCCAAAATATTCATTCTACACTCCACCCGAGCGCGAAAAACCAAACAAAATGACTATTTAAGATTGTTATTAATAATTCCATATTTTTCTTATCACATTACAAGTCCATCAAATCTTGACATATTATATTCAATCTTTCCGGTAGTCTCTATCGAAATTACGAATCAAATTGTTGCCTATTGTCTTCCAAATCACAATGCATACAGAAATACGAAATCATTAATCCAAAAGCCAACAAGTAAAGATTTCAAATTTGAACCAATTCCCATCTCAGGAAACAACAAAATATCCAATACCCAATTCTCAGAAATCGATTTTTCACCGATTTATTCAATCAAATAAGGTGAAAAACAAGAAAAATCAGAAAAGTAAAAGAGCAAAATGGAACCTTTAGAGAAGGGAAGGGGGCTCAGAGGAAACCCTAGAACTGGGCAGGCGGTGTCTGATTGCAGAAGAATAATGTGATTAGGAATCACCTGAAGCTTTTGTTCTCAGCTGCATATTTGTCCAGAGACAACAATCAGCGACTGAGCTTTCAATTCGTTGGAAGAAGAAGAAGAAGAAGGCTTCGTCTCTCTCCATCTCCCTCTGTTCCAAACGACCATGTTTTCTTCTTTTTTCTTTTATTTATTCTTCCGGATTTGGCAATCTCACGTGACATCCACGTGCGATGAACCAATCTTGTCATTTTTCTGGTTTCTGGAATTGGACCGAATACTCATCCCAATCTCCTCCGCCTCTTCCTTGCTGCTCCACCGGTTCTCCCATACCACCGCCGCAACAAGTTCACGCAAATCTGGCGACTCGCTCCACAGCGCACGCGTGAAACGCGACGCATCAACATTCCATGCGCGCGTTTTCCATAACCCTCTTTACGGGAGGTAAGCAATTTATCATGCTTTACATTTGAGGATGTTCTTTACAACAGAAATATATCTTCTGGTGATTTTTCTGGATACCCAAGGATTGAAAGAATTATTTACAAATACCCATTTTCTGTTTTTCGTCTGTTGATTTCTTGATTTCTACGTTGCGGTGCAAATTCCCCTTTCTCGATTGAACCAAAGCATAGCGTTGGAAAAAAATGCGTAATTATCAGGGTTTTTTGTTGTTGTAATTTTTCTGATTTTGAGGGTCTTGTTTCCAGGCTCAAACTTGGTGTCCTTTGTCTCTCCAATCCCTCTCTACTCAAGGTAAGGAATTTAAACTTCTGGGGCTGTTATTGATTATATTCGAGTTGAATTTAGTATTCTGGGTTATTAGATTTGAATAACGGTTGGGGTTATTGAAATTGGTATTCTGTATTATATTGGAGTTATTGAAAAAATTATTTTATCATGCAGATTCAGTTGTTTTGATTGGTTTCTGAATAGTTTAGAGATAGATGTTTTAAATTGCTTTATTGGTTTCTGAATTATCTAGAGATGGGTGTGGTTTTGAAATTGAGAAGATTTGAGAAACGTTTGTGTTTGAGAAAGAGGCTGCAAAGAAGTCGACCAACGGAAAGGAAAAAAGCAAAATAGAAAACATTTGATTATAAAAAGTGACAACAATAAGTTGCGCTGGTTATTGATTTAAATTTTGTTTAATTGTGAAGTATAGTAGTATGTTCTCATTTTTTTAAAGGGTATATGTTGTTCAAAGTATGTTGGCACGTTTTGCACCCACTCAAGATAAAATTTATGGATCCGCAATAGTGTTCAGATTTTCACTTGGTCTTTCTTTCTTTTTTTATTGATTTGTGGACCAATCTTATTCTTAGTTGCGAATCATTGTTGGAAAGATTAATTGGTCTCATTACTTGAGATGAGTGTTAAATTGTGGTTAGGTTTCAAACCGTGGCAGGCAGAGTGCGAGGTATCTTTGCTAGTTTAATTTATACTAAAACCCAAAACACATTGAAATACTGTTTATAAGCATAGTATGCTTCCTGTTTTACACCTACTAAGTTTGCATTATTACATTTTTGACACGGACAAAAATGCGTCGCAGTCATCTCTTTCCTCCTGATTTCTCCCTGCCTGGTCATCGTCTTGTTTTCCAATTGAAAATCTTGTGCGACTCCTCCTCACCAAGCAAGCCACTTTGCTTGAGATCTTTCAAATTGAAATTCCTCCTCAAGCTTTCCGACAGTAATTGGACGATTCCTCCAATGCCGGCCATCAAGGTTAGTCTGAAACGATTCCTACCTTATTGACCTATTGTGTGCCAAAATCTGCTTCAAATTTGTGATTTAATATAATTGGGCTTTAGAAACAAATAGATTTTTTTAATTTGAATTTAGAAAATTATATTCGAATTTGTTTTACATCTGATTGAGTTGGATTTAGGGGTTGTGTTTTAGTGTTTTCTGCCTAAGTAGTATATAAAGAAAAAAGAGTGATTTTTTGTGTCCTAAAAAGATCATCATGGTCATAGACACGAGTCTGATATTATCAAGTAAGATGTCGAGTCTTGCATTCGTATAATTACATATGTGAGCTGCATTTCTGGGTTTTTGTTGATTTGTTTGCTTATTTGGTATATACAAGAAGAGATGATGACACTGCCTCCAACATTATCATTTTATGCATGAACACGTAACACTTGGGCCAATCTAACCATTTATTTTGAGCACATCACATCAGCAAAATAATAAAACATACGACAGTGAGGTTTTTTCAAGTCAATTTTTGTTGGCATGTTGTTGTCCATGTAAGTGTTGATTTGATAAATGCAAGTGCTTTTGGCATTTTATGCCCAAGAAGAAGAAGAAGAAGAAGAAGAATAGTATGTATGCTATAACATTATGAGTCTGAGAACTGAGACATGTGAATTGTGGAGGTAAGCAACAATTATGTGAGACATGTGAATTGTATGGAGGTAAGCAACAATTATGTGATTTTTTATTTTTTTTTTGCTAAGAAGATTGTGTGACTTTTTGATATATTGTTCATTACGAAACAAGGAAGAATAGGAAGAAAGTGTAATATATGATCTTTAACTATTCGACTTTGTTCCAAGCAATATTGTTTGGTGAAATAATTGTGTTAAGATATTGGAGAAAATTGAAAATATTTAAAATTCATTTTGAGGAGGTTCTCATTTTCTAGGTGAAATCCGATCAGGTCCGTAAGAAAATCACCTCGTACGCAACGGGGTGGATGTAAGTTTCTTGAATGCTTTTGATTGAGGCCCACTATCCTCATCTCTGACTGAAAGTTGGGAGCTTCGAGAGTGGCATCGACAATGACGGAAAAAAGGAAGAAGAATAAGAAAAACAGCAATGAAGACAAATATGACACCTTCTACTATCGTTACGCCTCCTCCGCCCCACAAACTCGAAAACCCACTAATCGAAAAACTGTAAGTGCGTCCGACTTAGGAACCTTAGCGCCATCGAAATTGACCCTCAATTTCTCCAACTCGACTACTCCCTTACCAATTTGGATCTCCACACCTTCTTCTCCTACTTCGGCAAGATTCCTAAGTCACCGTCCTCAAGCATCGTAAGACCTGCCAGAGCCGCGGCATCGCCTTCGTCCAATTTGTGTCCTACTGATGCTTCCGTGGCAGCGAGTGAGATGCACGAGAAGATACTTAACAAGATGAAACTCTTCACTTTCATCGTTGCCGACAACGGTCGGGCGGTCGAATTCATTCGTAAGAGGGAGTATAAGGACAAGAGCCGGTGCTATGAGTGTGGCGAAGAGGGGCACTTGTTGTATGAGTGCCCGAAGAACCAGCTGGAGCCCAGGGAGCAGCCGTTGTCGAAGCGAGTGAGAAGAGGTGGCGGTGGCGGTGGTAATGGTAATGGCGACAGGGTGGCGCGTGTGGACGAGGAAGAGTATGATAGTGGTGGTGAGAAGTTTGAGGATGATAATTGGGCGTCGGTGCTGGATGATGTGGCTAATCTAAGGTTGCGGTTGGGGGCAGATGCGGAGGCGGAGGAGAAGAAGAAGAAGGTTCTGAAGAAAGCTGGTTACTTTAGTGATGAGAGTGATGATGAAGATTGAGTGATTTGGTGAAGGGTTTTAGTTGATTTTGGGAGGTGGGTTTTGTTTGGAATTGAGGGATTTCAATGTTCTTTTTGTTTTTTGATTTATGTTTTGATGATTTGTTCGGTTTTTGCTGTTTTTGATTGAGAAAAGTAGTTGTTGATGCACAAAATCAATGGGGACTTTGGTACAACAGAAATTGTTAAGTTTGTGACCTTCGCTAGATTACTCTGGTCACTAGTGTGGATAAGTATGTAAATTGATAGAGACAGGGAAGCAAACACAAGATATACGTGGTTCACCCAGATTGACTACGTCCATGGAGTAGATGAGTTCTTATTAATTGTGAAGGGCTTACACAAGTACATAGGCTCAATCTCTCATTTAATGAGTACTAGTGAATGATTTAGTACAAATGACATTCGGAAATAATAGAAGGCCTGACTCTTTTTGTATCCCTTCCCACAGACGGCGCCAAATGTTGATGCAAAAAATCGGAGGGATCTTGGGACAACGTAAATCCGACCGTGAATCTGCAAGAAAGTAAGAACACAAGAGGTATCGTGGTTCACCCCAATGTTTGGGCTACGTCCACACTGATATTGTATTTCTCTATTTGTGAGAGGATTGTGAGGGAAAAAGAGCTTTGAATATGAGAGTGAGGCTTGAGGTTTGTAAGGGTGAGGAGACCCTTTTATAGAATAAGGGTTCCTCACTTATTACATATTTGCCCCTTCATTTATTACATAATTACATTTGAGTCCTCCGAGTATTTATACGAGGTCTAAATACGGAGGCCCTAAGTATGATACAAAAATGCTACAATGTGAAAATATTATGCCACCAACTAATCTGAAAATGAACATCATGCATAATTGCATAGCTTAAGTATGTGTATCTAACAAGCAAAGATATTTGATCATGCTTTCGAAACAACTTGCAACGAAATTTACAATCCAATCCCATATAATCTAAAACCCCAACTACATTACTACTCTGTTGCTCAGCTAAACCAGCATCACATTGACTATTTTTTGTACCATACTTGACCAATCCCGAAACTACTGAGCACTGGTCAAGGTTATACCGTCAAGAACCCAGAAGAGTTTCCCTCCAACCAGGAGGCAAATCATAGCGTGACACGTGTCGACATCAAAAGCCAATCATAGCGCGACACGTGTCAACATCATAAGCTAATCACAACATGACACGTGTCAATATCAAAACAAAGCTAGAAACTTTTCTATAAAAGGAGATCATTCTCCCACAATATTTCCGAATGTCATTTGTACTAAATCATTCACTAGTACTCACTAAAGGAGAGCTTGAACCTATGTACTTGTGTAAGCCCTTCACAATTAATGAGAACTCCTCTACTCTGTGGACGTAGCCAATCTGGGTGAACCACGTATATCTTGTGTTTGCTTCCATGTCTCTATCCGTTTACATACTTATCCACACTAGTGATCGGAGCAATCTAGCGAAGGTCACAAACTTAACACTTTCTGTTGTACAAAGTCCCCACTGATTTTGTGCATCAACAATTACTTTTCTCAATCAAAAACAGCAAAAACCGAACAAATCATCGAAACATAAATCAAAAAACAAAAAGAACATCATTCATGT